GGGACCCCAGAAATAACACCCGAAGCTTACAGCCAACAGATTTATTTATTTATTTTTTTTGGAGAGGTTTTCGCTATAGGGCACGTGCGCCTGCCAGACAGACAGACAGAGACATAGAGACAGAAAGCTAGAAATCACCCCCCAGGATGGATGGTCACACCGCAATCCCCTCTCCTCTCGGGATCTTGGGCACGCACGCACACATGCCCGGCGTGCGTTTTAAGCCACCGGGTCCAGGACGCGAACTGCGGTCGACTACGTGGGAGTCCAGCGACACAGCCATTACACTAACTGCTGGTTCCCGAGGAACCTATATTCTTTAAAATATTCTAAAATTTGAACTTTCTTATACTTTGGATATATCCTTCCCCCAGTAAACATAAGCTGCACTAAAAAACAACAACAACAAAAAGTTAATTGCCAGAGGGCACACACACTCACCAGAGGCAGAGAAAGAGAGAGGGAAAACCCCGACAATGGCACGTAGTCACACAATCCCTTCTCCATTTCTCCATCATGTTGGGATTCTAGGCACAGACACACATATATGCTCAGTGTGTTCTTCAAGCTGCTGGGATTGAGATTTGAGTTGTATGGCTGGCCATGTGGGGTCTGGCTCTCTTACCACTAGGCCACAGGCTGGCTCAATAAATGTTACATTTTTAAATTTATTTATTTATTTTATGTTTTTGTCATAGGGTACATATATTCACCAGAGAGTGAGAGAGAGAGAAGGAAAGTGAGAAGTCACCCTCCCAGAGTGATGGGGGTGATGGCCTCACTGCAATCCCTTTTCCGTTCTTTTCAGGATTTTGGGCATGCATGCACATGTGCCTGGCATGCTTTTCAAGCTGCTGGGTCCAGGACTTGAACTGCAGTGGGAGTCCAGCATCTTAATCACCATGCTACCTGCTGACCTCCCAATAAAATGCTCTAAATGTGAATATACATTCTATATACAAAGAGAACATGAGATATCTACTACAATGTGAAAAGAAGACAACCCTGAGTGTCACTGTAAGAACTACCAAGTGACCATAATCAAAACTGTACTATTTTATCTACAAGGTGAGCTGCCAGCATTCTATGTTTAAAAAAAACCAAAAAACAAAAAACAAAAAACACTGACAGGAGCGCTAATGAGAACCCCAGTCCCTCCAAGATCATGAGAGGATTTTCCAAAACCAAAAAAGCACAGTCAGGCTCCAACCATCTCCACTGGTTCTCATGCCTCCCTCCCACTCAAAAGTGTGTCTAACTAAAGGGTCTGATGTTCCCAATGCGCTCTATACTGACCTGTGTGAGTGCGAAGATGAGCCTTAAGGTGGGAACTTTTGAAGTAGGTCTTCCGGCAGCCTGGGAAGTTGCAAACATAGTTTCGCCTTCGGGAAAAGTCTACCTGAGGTGCACAATTTTGGCTGGAGGCAATGAACACTGGAGCAGGAGCAAGGGGTAATAACTTGGTATTCCCGACAGCCATGACACTCGAGCAGATGGCAGGCTGGGGGAGGGCTCCTTGGGGAAGGACCAGCATCACAGTTCCCTGAGGCACAGGTGGTCCCATAAACACAGGCTGGGGCACTGGGGCAGCTTGGGGTAGGATGGGTCTGACATTCCCTACAGACAATTGAGGTGTGGGCTTCAAAAAAGCTGATAACATGCCACTTTGTCCAGTTGCAGGGACCATTTGGCAAAAGACAGGAGGACTGGAGACAGGGACAGAAATCAAAGGGGTGGTTTTCCTTGGTAAGTCATTTTCGAAATTCTTTGGTGAGCTGGTTTGAACTGCAACAGGACAGCCTACCTGCTGGCCTTTGTCAATAGGGAGCAGACCACCAGATGTGTGCAAGCAAGGCTGACATGACACCAAGTTAGTGCTGAATAAGTTGTCTGCCAGGCGTGTGTCCTGAAAAGCTTCAAAATGTCCTAGAAACTGTGCTTGTTTTTCTCTGGTGTCAGAAAGTTGCTGTTCTTGAGTCAGCATGGTAGGAAAGCAGGCAGAAGCAGGATGCTCCCCCGTGTGGCGGATCACACTGGTTACCATGGCCTTACAGGAAGGGCCATAGGCTGGCTCCAGTGCCTCTGGCTTCAAACCTGCCAAGTCCCTTTCCGTCCTCCTGCTCAGCACTCTGGCTGCCACAGTAGATGGGGGGATGGCCATGACTGTGCACACTCTGGAGTGAGTCGCTTGGGAAGTAAGAGGTGTCCCTGTTGATGGCTCCATGAGATCAGGGCTCTGAGGGAGAGTTATGCACTTAAAAAAAAAAAAAAAAAAAAAGACCAGGTGAAAGGTTGTTTCTGATTAATTTTTAAAAATAATGTCTTAAAGAATTATTTTATTTAGTTTCATTTATAGATTTTATTTTGACCACAGAGGGATGGGGGGAGGGAGGGAGTGAGAAAGCAAGATGCCAGGTCCAGGACTCGAATGGTGGTTGTCCATATGGGAGTCCAGTGCCCTTAACCACCACACCACCTGCCAGCCCCATGTTTTTGCTTAAATTTTAAAAGAAACGTACTTGATCACATTGACCCCAGTGCTGTTAAAAGCAACATCTAGAGGACACTGTCCAATCCTGCTCTGAAAGCCCCAGGGAGCTTCAAGGTCACACAAGGAATTGACTTGCCCAGCTCTCTCCCCTGTGTGGATTTCCCTCAAACCCAATGCACATGCTCTGCTGTAAGCAATGGCAGTGCCTGCTCCTGGACTTACACAACTACTGAAAGGAGCGATTTGAGAATCAGGACTATGGTGAGGAAACAGACATATATTTCAAAACAAGAGCTTTTCACAGTAATTTTAGATTCTTAAAAATCACAGCAGTGATAATTTAATAAACACCTCCCAGATCAGATAAAACTGACTAGAGGGGACAGCAGGCGGTATAGTAGTTAAGGCAGCTAGACTCCCACATAGCTAACTGCAGCTCAAGTCCCAGACCTGGTGCCTTGCTTTCATACTTCCTTCTGTCTCTCTCTCTGCTCAATTTCAAATAGATAAATAAAACAATGAATAAAATTAAAATAGTTCTTAAAAAGAAAAAACCTGACTAGAATGATCCCCCCACAAAAGGCAACAACCCAGTCAATGATTCAGCCAGAACCAAACTTCTCTGCACTGACCCAACAACTCCCACTTACTCTGGTCACCCTACAGAAGCACCAAATGCTGAGGAACTCTGTAAGGGCTCCTAGCAGCCAAGTCTACTGCTTCTCCATGCCTCCACCATTCTGTGTCCCTCCTCATCCTGCTCCACTCTTCCAGTGCAAGCTTTCTGCTCAGGACAATTGCCCTGCAATTTCCACTTTTGCTAGCAACCTACAAGCTCTCAATTTTTAAAAAAATTTTTGAGAGAATTTTGCTATAGGATGTGTGTGCTTGCCAGATACAGAAAGTGAGAAATCACCCCTTGGGGTGATGGCCATGCCACAATCCTTCACCACTATTCTCCTCTCAGGATTTTGAGCATGCATGCACACATACCTGGTGAGTTTTAAGTTGCTTGGCTTGGAAATCAAACCATGGTCAACTACGTGGGAAATCAGCAACATGAACATTATGCCATCTGCTGGTTCTAGCTCTCAAATTTTCTAAGCTAAAATGCAGTTGTTCAAAAGCAAAAAAACAGGGATTTACTGACCCAAGTCACACAAGTAATACCTTGGCCCCACAGGAAGGCAATGGTGCAAGTACTCCAACTCAATTAAGGCTGTCTGATGTCAAAGCAGAGCTTTCTCCAGTATCACATACAAATCCTCATGTGGGGCTGGGCACTGGGAGAACCTAAGCCCCCAATCTGAGTAAATTACTTTCTCATGCCAATTTGTTGTTTTCATCCTATTGTTATTAAATATGTGGCTGGCAAGCTATGATCCATCAATAGAAAGGATCACTTTCTCAAAAGCTGAGGAAGAGCTCTCACTCCTTCAGACTTGCACAAGAAGAGGGGACCCAGATAGCTTGCTAGCATGCCAGTGGTTCTCCCCAAGAGTTCTTCAACATATTTACTTAAGTTACTCTGCTCATTTCACAAAAATGTTCCTTTCCTCCCACTTCCTCTTACCAGAGTAGAAAAAGAGTGGAAGTCCTTTGGTTGCTCAGGTGTAGCTGTGTCCATATGCACTGTGGTGGTGACATCCCCAGAGTCAGAGACAGGTGTGAGGGGTCTTATCTTTAATAGGTCACCTTTCTGAGATCTTTGACCCCAGGAACTCATGCAAACAAGCGCCTCAACAGCTTCCATGTCTGTCTGTTCCAAGATACTACACGTAGACCTTTCACTGTCATGTCGCTTCCTCTCCAAGATTGATTCACATATGTCCATGATGCCAACCTAAAAAGGCAACACAACAGCTTCTCAGTCCAGGGGAGAAATAAAAAAGGTAATCCCTGATGGGAATAAAGATATGCAAACCAGGAGCTCATATTATATTAATACACATGCAATACTCACATGCAATAAGCCCTGTGTTCTAGTAAAAGACTTTTCTAATTTAAGAGTTTTTTCCTATAGGGTACATGTACTTGCCGGAGAGACAGAGAGATGGGGAGCAAGAAATCATCCCCCAGGGAGGATAGCCATGCTGTAATCCCTTCTCCTCTGTTTTCCTCTACAGATTTTGGGCACACAACCACCCAATGTGTTTTGTAGGCTGCCAGGCCCAGAACTCCAACCACGTTGACTATGTGGGAGTTCAGTAACATAACCATTATGCTATCTGCTGGTCCCAGTAAAAGATATTTTAACGTAGTACTACAGACAACTCCACTTTGAAGCAACATTCTAAAAACTAGACTTAGAAGGCAAGTAGTTTTCACCAAAACCATGACTCTCAAAAAAGGTAACTAAGTTCATGTTTTTCTTCAGTAAATGATTAATAAGACTCCAGAGGTGTAGGCCCAAGCGGCTGAAGTGCAGCCTCACAAAGAGAGGATGAACCAAAACCAAGTTCCTCTAATAGATCTGCTGGCCTGTGAGGTCCACTTGATGCTGGCCAGCCACCCTGGCCCATCCCTGCAGCCTGCCCCCTCTGTTGGCAAAGCCACCAGAGTAATGTCCCTGTAGATGCGTTTTTGGAAACTCTAAGCATTCACTCTAGCCCTCTCGTCAGGACACCTCCACAGCACAATTTCCTGGTGGACTCTGTGAGCTCCATGCTCGAGAACCCACAATGGTGTAACCAGAGATTTTGTTACTGCACTAAAGCAGGA